GCCTACATACTGACATACCGGTTAGCCCCCCCCCCCATTTTGCTCATATTCGATATTTCCCCATACAAACTTTTCCCTTCGTTATTTTTATGAACTTTGTGCCATGTCACTTGATTAAATAAGGCCTGTATCATGAGTGAGCTAGGCCTGATTGATTTTCAGAAACATTCTTTTATTTTTCCCACCCTTTATCATGTTTATGTGCCATGGCAGCCGTTGCATTTGCGGACTTCTGCTTGTAATCCTAGAAGTGCATGTACCCGTAGGCCTAGTCTGAGTACATGTAACTGTGACCCTAAAATCCAAGTTACTCAGATATACCGGTAGGTCTAAGCCTAAACGGTAGAATTATTTTGGTGGGTGTTTTCTTCTGCTGAATCCAATGAAGGCATTAAATTGATCTCCAGAACAATGGTAGGATCCCAATGCCCACTTGAAAAAAAAAATTCCCCATATAGAGGGACATTGTCTGTTTCCAGGGACTGAGTTTTTCCTTGAATAAAGGGACTTCTCCAATACAGGGACAGTGTCTGAGTTGTGATGTGCTCCTCATTGCATGTACACTTGATCCAGCGAGGAGGACCAGATCTGGTAAGGGGGATCAGATCCGGATCAAAAATGTGTGTAAACGCAACGCAGGATCAGATCCTGATCCCGGGATCTGACTGTCGGACCTCACAGTTCTGGGGGTACACATCCTGGACCATTTGATGATTTGTAGATCGATGCTAGATCAAATGACGGCAGCAGTCACATTTTTTTATAGTAGCTTGTACTAGCTTAGCCTGTAGGCCTACAACAAGCACTAGCCTCCATCGTAGGATTAGGCATAGCATGACTAGAACTAATCCTACTTGAAGTTCACAGTGCGCTAGTTTAAGTTTGTTCATTTTTCTTTGCTTAATTCCTCTGAGGTTGTGCATATTTTCCTGCGCGGATAGCATTGAGCACAGTCTTCATGATCTTTAAACATGCGAAATTTTTATGCCTCAAACTGTGCTATTTACATGTAGGGGTGGGGCGGGGGTTCTTTACATACTTGAAGAACTCCGTGACATGGAGCAATTACACGTGTTTACCTGGGGTCGTAACACTGTGGTTTTTTAATCAGGCTTTTGTGGTAACTGATCCAATAGGCTGAAGCAAACTCTGCTTTTTCAATCAGATTTCCGTTCAGCCATTTTTGGAGGCATTGGGGATGGCATTTTGTTTTCAGTGCATGATCGTCTTTATTCACATGTGACTTGCGAGCTGTGACAGATTGTAAGATCTTAGAAGTCCCCCCTTTGAATATGGTCAAACCGAAATGAGGAGCAAGCTTAGCCATTGGCTTGACAGTTCATGAAACCTGTAATGTGACCCCCTCCCCTTGAAAAAGCAATGACTCTGGGTTCCCATTTGCCCAAGTACAATTTTCTGTTGTAGGCTCAGCAACGCATTGAAGTACATTGTACATGTGGTTTAGTAACTTTTCTCCTTTTTTTGTCTTCTATTTACCATGTGATGGGTTGGACTGAATAAATCTTATTGCCAATGTGAACTGTCTGCTTCTCCACACTAACTGCAAGGGTAAGCGCTGATATAAGAGAGGAACATTTCTATTAACTCTTAAAACTTCTGCAGCATCTTGGTGTTGTTACGTGGCCTATTTGGTTACCCTTCGTGTTTGGTGACTTGGTAGTGTAATGTTCATGTAAGCGCAGGCATGTTTTATTTCTCTATGGTACTTCCCAACATTGAAATCTTTGCCAAAATAGAAAAGTGGTACATGCTGTATCATTTCTAAAACTGTTCATGGCACTTTCAGTTTACTTTCGAGGTAGGGCATGTTTTTTTTGGGGGGGGGTTGCTCCCTTGGTTCTCCCACCCCCCGGACATGCCCCCGCCAAGGTCAAGGGTGAAATGTGTCGGGATTTTTCCGGATTTCAGGATTTTGTTCATCAGTATTTTCCTGATTTCATTTTTCAAACAATCTCTTTTAATGTCTAAAATGTCTTTGTTTACCATTAAGGTGGTTTGACGTAAATGTTGATATGTAGCAGAAGGAATGGATATTTTAATTAAGGGGTGTCTAAATATATAACATACACACAAATTTTGGTGATTATTTCAGGGATATTTGATTTTCCTCCAATCTCACCCCTGTGTTGAAGTCAAGTACATGTACATGTTAGTGTCTGGTCTACAAAAGAAAAAAAAACAGTGATGCAGGAATGATTTGTACACGTACACTGTATTGGCGTGTACCATTTGTTAACCACTACCTTTCTCTGAATTTACATAGTTGGACTGCTGTGTCAACTTGGAGATGGATAGCCAACGATGACAACTGCGGTATCTGCAGGATGGCCTTTGACAGCTGTTGTCCAGACTGCAAGATGCCAGGTGACGACTGCCCACTTGGTGAGCATGTCTTCGGCCATTATCAATTGGTTTAGTTGCAGGGATTTTATCATCTTCCAAACTTGCATGTCAGTGTACCCATTGCAGCGAAACACTATGATAAGCCCCAACTCAAGCACATCCTTCACAATCCATCAGGTTGGAGAGGTTTTTGGGGGATTGACAGAGGTTAAGCCCAGCCACTGTTACTTTCTCCTCCAAGTTAACGTACATGTACAGTACATGTATGTACGTACGTTATCTGTTCAGCGCAATCTTTGAAAGTGCGCAAATTTCAAATTTGTGCTACTTGCACTATTTTACTTATGCAACTTTTATTAAGTTGCATATATGTCAAATCTGCGTTGATAACATTGGGAACAATGATGGTTCACGTTTGACTGAGAAGTCTCCAGCGGGCACCAGTCAAGCTGGGAAACTGTTGATTTGAGTGAAGGCTAGACATCCAGTACAGACTTGTAGTTTTGGGGGTCATTTCAAAATTTGTTTTGTCTGGGATCTTATTGCAATATTTGTCTAAGTAATGGTTTTAAGGTTTTTTAGAGGGAAGAAAAGTCCCAATTAAATGTCAAAAGGGGAATTTAATAGCTCCCATGAGGCAATATTCATGCTTTAGATCTCCTTATGAATTTGTGATACATTTGTATTTTTAATTTGTTAATTGTAAGATATTTTATGGAATCATCATACATTTACATGCATTTCCTGCTGTTTCAATTTGTAAATTGCATTGTGATTTGGTGTTTTTGCATATATTAATGTAATGCATCATGTAAAATTATTTTTAAAAAATTATTATGACTAATGATAAAAGCTCGAAACTAACAGACGAAAATTTGTCTGACATGTTGCAGCCAGCCTGTACCTGGGCCCCACAAGTAAATGCCACGCACAAACCATGCGCAACTGGACCCAGTGCTTAAAATGAATTCGTACAAAATGTGTAGTTGATGTCAGTCTGTTACGAACGACTGTGGCCTGTGATTCACGTACCACGCAATTTTTATTGCTGTGCCCAATTTTTTTTACAATATCTGCCGTTGCACAAATTTCAAATTCGCACACTTTCATAGATTGCGCTGAACATCACCTCTGTTTAAGCAGGTTGCTTAATTAATGGGAGGTAGTGTGTTAAACAGCTGAGAATTTTCATCACTGGGAAAGTTTGTACAGAGCTGGTTTTGCAGCTACAGAAACAGTGGGGGGGGGAGTTGTCAATGTCAAATATCACAGTAACTTACTGGTGATGCCTTCAGTAAAGTTCAGTATATACATGTACATACATGTACATATATACAGTACATGTACTGTATACAGTCAGTACATTGCACTCAATTGCCATGCTTGATATACTTAAGATCTGACTGATCAAGGTTAGTGCATGACATGATGGCATGTCTAGCTAACTGGCTTAGAGTTTTCTATTCTGCAGTTGTAGGTACAGTCAACAACGTCAAAGAGAGGTCCTTCGGACTTTGCAGATTATCTTGTTATAACAGGAACCTTGTATTGGGGCTTAAAAATTTCCTTGTTATAAGCAGAATGTTTTATTAACAGTGCTCTTATTAATGAGGTTTGACTGTGATTGTCTTACCCGGGTGCTCAAGTTGGAAACTATACAATGTGGATTGTGAGAGTTTGCTGTTCCCAGAGGCCAACCCTGTCTGAACCCTCGTGGATCTCAATGATCTCTTCTCTCTCTCCTCGCTCAGTCTGGGGCCAGTGTTCCCACGTGTTCCACATGCACTGCATCCTGAAGTGGCTGAACTCCCAGCAGGTACACCAGCAGTGCCCCATGTGCCGACAAGAGTGGAAGTTCAAGGAGTGAGATTTTGGCTTCCGGAGTGGGTCGCCGCCACATCAAGGGAACAGGACGGTGCCGCAAGGTGCCCTTTGCAAGACCACCGTTAACCTGTGAAGGCTACATGTACTTCAGTAGGTTTAGCACCTCGTTGGGCAAGACGGTTTGCTGAGGAACTCTGATCCACAGGGTACATGTAAAATCATGTTGAAATTAGAGGATTGAGGACTGAGGGTAAGGAAGTTCAGGAGGATGGTTTTGACCGTGATATTTTTCTAGTTGCTGGAGTGTATTAATTAATGACCAACTTTCAGCACAGTTTTAGATATTAAAGGAATACATACAAGGAAAACTTTTATGTCCAAAATTCACCGTACGAGTTGAGATCAAGCTGATTTAAACGGCGACTCCTGAATCACCCCAGTTGAGAATTGTAAGGCTGAGTCAATCGAATATTCACATTTCTTGACCTTCCATTTGATGGAACTCTGGAAAATACCAATTCCAACAAAAGCAGAAACGTACACACCCTTAGGAAAAAGCAAAAAGGAAAAAAACTAAAAGAAAATAAATTTCCTGGTCTTATTGTTGGGTATATATGCCTTCAGTGACTGAGGTTTGCTCGTAACACCTTCAAATGATATTTTGGGATTTTGAGTATTCAATTTGGTAACCAAATAATTGTTTCTTTCTTTCATTTATATTCAATAATTGATCAAATATCAGAATATTCGAATGAGCAGCACGGCCCTTCCCAGTTTAGAATTGCATATTGTAACATGTATACCCCCATGTGAATAAAGTCATTGTCAACACATCTCCATTTAAATTCAGTATAACATGTGCTTCCAGGTTTCCATATATTATTTTGTGGGCTGGAAAAATAGAAAAGACCGGAATAAATTCAAAGTGCAACAAAACAGACTTCAAACGATGAAGCTATTTGTTGTTTCGCGCACATACCTCTGGACTCTTATCTGCATCAAATTCAATTTTCCAGGAAAGGAAACCAGATGTGAATAAATGAACAAGGAAACTGAGCAAGATATATCTTTGGAAGCGGTTTTGATATTTAGAAAGGTTAGACTATTTGAGAGAATGACAGGTTTTCATATAGAAGGAGTGTACTCGACTTAGTTTTGAAATGATAATGAAAGATAAAGAAGAATAACATTAAAAACTTTAAAAGGTTCAACAATGTCAGGATGTGTTCTACACAACCACCAGTGACTGATTATCATAGGGTCTACGGGCTACTTGATCAGGGGAAAATATGTAAGGTTGAGGTGAAAAATGGAAGAAATTTTGCCAAATATAATTGATGACAAATTACAGTATGGTTCAGATTAAATGTATGTACATGTATTATACATCACGTCCGCATTGCATGCCTTCTGTACTTACATGTATTGTCATGTCCGTGCTAAAAAGCCCTTACTAAAAAATTGCATTAAAAGGTCCTTATTGAAAAATAGTATGTTGAAATTGAAAAATAATATGTTGAAATTGAAAAATAATATGTTTAACTTAAAATCGGCAATAAAGTTTGTAGAAATTTAAATATACTGGCCCAAGAAAACTAGTTTAGTAAATTAAAATGTGTTGAATAATTGAAAATACAACAAATTTTTCAATTTGTCATTTTCAGTACAATATTTCTTTCATGCTCAAAGTAAAACCCAAAGGGTGTTTTAAAAAATGAAGTTTTGCTGTAATGACTATTTAGCACCGAGCCAATATTTGATGAACAGTGTGACTGATCATTCGAGCAAAAAAATGATTGATCTTTGTCTGATGCGTGGAGATGCAATGGACCTGGGAGTTGTATCTGTTTAAATTTCAGACCATGAAGGATTTGAAGAATTCTTTCCCCAATTATCACATTTTTGGAAATGTTTTTACAGCACAAAAAAGTCTAATCTTTCGGGAAAATATAAAGGGAAAATCAAATTTTCGGAAATACTTGTGTGTGGAGAGGAATGAGGGCGTTCCTTCCTATCGCTGAAGGTAATCTCGCCACCTCGAATTTTACTGGATCACGTCCCAATATTTGCAAAGCTAAATGATGCTCAATAGTTCGTGGTAACGTGCATGCTTCAGAACGTCGAGCGCCCAAGGAGCGGTATTGGTTCAATACGGAGAACATTGACTGGATCGTCTCAATGGAGGGTTACCTTTAATCCTGAACGTAAAGCATTGGTTCAGGTCCTTGTTATGCTAAAAAAAGATCCGATCGTTTCAATGGACAACCCTGGCTCTGGAATACGAACGGACAAAAGCGATTGTGCAAACACCTTATTGTGTTATCTTTTCTTTCCCAAAGCCCTTTTATTCAGAGGTTATGTGTTGAGGGTGTTGGTCCACTCCATGAATTGCATGACTATCGTCGCGGCGCTCATAGCAACTCGACGACGACTGACCGATGCGTTAGGTGCACTAGGATAGTACTTTTCAGTATGACATTCAAAACTATATAGCTTTTATTCAAGCATTTTGATTGCGTTTTCGAGCACAACGTTGGATGTTCTCCTGATTTCGTCACACCAAGCTCAGTTGCTTATGTCTACCTTCCATCGCACCATGATCTGATGATTAGGAAAGTGTACGAAAAGCGGGCAGGATGACTGTAGAAAACACGTCGACCGCAAGCTAGCAGGTTGGCTTGTGTATTCCGAGGTGTTGCGTCATCAAGGGTGAGAATGCTGCTTCCTCCATGAGGCTGGACGAAAATGTTGAAAATATTTCAATCTGTTACGGCAACACCTTGGAAGAGTTCCGTGTACGGACGCCACTTGACACCCCGTACATAAACCAAATGAGACTGGTCTGAAAAATTCAATGTTTTCTAAGTAACCGACGGCGTATTTCCTCCTAAATTGAACCTTTTAGGACATGTTTCTGCTTTCTGGTGGCCAACAGGTCACTGTAGGGAATAATTACTGGTGTCTGTATATGGAACTCTTTCCCACGGTGCACACTTTCATTTTAGTTAGAAAACACTGAAAACGTCGACACTCCTAGACTATTCGGTCAAGGATAAGCGCCGTTAGGATGCAAACATACATGTACTTTACCCTGACAGGTGTCTTCCTAGCTGTTCCTTTCCTGCTGTGGTTTTGGAAGTAGCCCAGACATAATAATGGTTGGTGGGAGGAAAGGAAAGAAGAGAACTTGTCCCCTGGGGAAAACTTATGAGAGAAAGAATGAAAACCAGAAAGGCTGACAGCGCCATCGCGAGTTTTCACAAAAATGCCTCAATTGACCCCATCCTTTGTTTTTGCTTTCCGCCTGTTACGGTTTAGTGCCCCCCCCCGCGCCTGCCTTGAGCCAACTTAAAGGAGAGCTGTGACCTCAGCATCGCTGCCAGTTTTTTTTTAGAGTGCAGAAAATGTGTTTATTTTTAAAGCATTAATCTCAGTGGCCGTGTTAATTTTTAATTAAGCGACTTCAAATAAAAGCAAGCGGAAATTTGCAAGTGGCAACCAGTGGCATAACTACGGGGGGAGGGGGCATATTAAAATCTATGAATACTCTCCTTTGAAATCATGCAGCTGCAGTAGTGGAAACATTGGTGGAAACTTCGGGTATCTAGAAATATCGGACTTGTGTTAACGTCTTTTTCTGACCTCGCGATTTTCATACAGAAAAAAAATCATGACTTCCGGACGAAGGGCTATATACCAATGGTGATATTTGGGGGATGAGCCCCTCAATGTCAATTTTGCCTGGTTTTTCTCGCGTTACCCCCAAGGTTTTCAAGTTAAGGCTACCGAAACTTCGTTGAAGCTCCTTGTTCAGAAATGTCTTCAAAATACCTAATTACTGCATTTCCAATAGATTCTGTCAAATCTGCACATGAGCTCGGCCATCAAGTTTACATGATTATCATTTTTGTCAGATCCTCCTATTTGCTCGATACATCCCCCACATTCAACACACTTCAATATACTGGAGGAAAACCAGGCCAGCGAGTGTCGGACAATTGGCCAAGATGGCGACCTTGTCAAGTACCCGGAACATGTTCAACTTCATCTTGGTACTTTACCTCCTGGGTTTCTTCGTCATGATGACACGCTGGAAGAGAGCAGAGACCGAAGGTTGGTGATCAGAGAACTTTCCAAGTACATGTATAAGTTTCCTATAAGAACGGGGATTGGTGCGCATACATGGTAGGCCTAATAGGCCTAAATGTTGCGTCCGTAGTGTCAAACTTAGGAGCAAAAACGGAAAGCGAAAGCAATGTGTGCATTTTTTTTAGCGGGGGAGGCCACTTGAAGGAATACATGATTTGTTGATTCATATTTTGAAAGAGGCTTGTAATTAAGCTTTTGGGTGTCGGTACTCCCAGCATGAACCGTTTGGCGCTTGACCCGTTCCATAGAATATACATGTACAATATGACGCATAAATCATCAACGTTATCATGGTTGTTTTTAACATCCTTTAATCAATTCTTATTTTTCTGTTGCATGTATTTGTGTTTTCAAGATTCCAGCCACAGTGAAAGCTACTCAGAGCGACAGCGTCGGGATGATCACTTCATCAAGTTGTCTTTATTAAGGCATTCCCCTGTAGACGAGAAGGTACCGTTTCTTCCAAAGATATTCCCCTTTGCTTGCTTGTCCCTGTCTACTTGTCATTTTGCCTTCAAGAAAGATTCTGCTAAAGATCGAAACGTCAGGCCCTCCATAGTTTGTATTTAACAAAGATGCTTTCTCACAGGGTTAATAAGGAAATACAAGTACTCCTAGGGGAGACTTGGCAAGAATGAAGTGGTCTAGTGCTGACTAGTTAATGTAATTATTCATCGGCCGTAACTGATAAGTTGAATGTGTTTGATTTGATTTCCCCCTATAGGCATCATCAGAGGCTGTCCTCAATAATGACGTACTCAAGGTTGACCAAAAAATACCCATCTTGATGAATAACTCGGCGAAGTCACCCGAGACTGAGGAGAGTTCTCCTCAAGGCAAGAAGAACAAATCACGTAAAAGGGGGTCTTTAAAGAAGACAGTGAAAAAGACACCTGCGACCAACAAGGCTAAAAAGCCACATCTTGCCCCTAAACCATCCGTCAAAGACATTGCTAGCGTCAGTCAAACAGTCAAAAAGGGTCAGTCTGGTGAAAATCCTGCCAAAGCATTCCCTAAGGGCCAGGTTGGTGAGAACAAGGTCAAAACAGTCTCTAAGGGTCACACAGGTGAGAACCTCGTCAAAGTATCAAATAAGGGTCAAGCTGGTGAGAACCCTGTCAAAGCATCCAGTAAGGGTCAGGCTGCTGACAACCTCGTCAAAGCATCCGATATGGGTCAGGTTGGTGAGAACCCCGTCAAAGGGATTCAGAAGAAATCTGCCAACCGCCGCAAACAGTTCAAGAAGAAACTAACATCGGCCAAGGAGCCAGACGAGAGAACAAAGTGGGAAACTGAACAGGAGCGACGGCGAAACACCCTCCGCCAGGCCTGCAGCAACCACGACAATTACGGGCAGCAAAGTCACATCTCGGAAATCATCAAGTCGCACAAACGCAGTCTCTGGCCATTTATAGTCGAGGACAAATATCGTCTTCTTTACACCTTTGTGTCCAAAGTGGGCTCCACAAACTGGAAGAGGGCCTTCCTGGTCTTGAAGGGGAAGTATAAGACGGTTGAGGATGTTCCCGGGCAGTTGGCCCATTCCCCTCTCTTGGTGAAGCTGAGCAGTCTCCCGGAAGAAGGTATCCAACGACGGCTGGATAACTACACCAACTTCATCTTCGTGCGACACCCTTTTGCGCGCGTCTTGTCGGCTTACCGAAGCAAGTTCCTGCAGCCCAACGCGGCATTTCAGAAGAAAACGGGCGTCCGGATAATCAAGATGTACCGCCAGAACGCGACCAAGGAGTCGCTGGCCACGGGCAGCGACGTCACTTTCCCTGAGTTTGTCCGGTACCTCGTCAACGCCAAGGTCGTCAACTTCGACGGCCATTGGCAGCCGATATACAAGATGGTCCTACCGTGCGCGATGCGGTTCGATTATATCGGGAAATTGGAGACGGGCGAAAATGACGCCAAATACATCCTGCAAAAAGCAAAGGTGGATCACCTGATTCACTTCATGGAAACCAAGCGTAACGTCAGTCACGATGCGGCGATTTTTGAGCATTACTACTCGCAAATACCCAGTGCCGACCTTGTTAAATTATACAAAATCTACGAACCAGACTTCCAGTTGTTTGGGTACGAGGTCGCTGACAATATGAAAACTCACTTCAAATGGGTTTGATGCGTGTCCTTACTCCTTACTTGAAAGTCAATTTTTATGTACGAGTTTTTTCCCCAACTAAAATCTCCCATTTTTAACAACGGGTTTTAAAAACCACTTCAAATAATTTCTGTCTAGTACAATGTAAATGTACTTTTCTAAATTTGTTTTTATTGCTAAGGCAAAGCCAGCAGTCACGTAAATCTATTGGTCAAAAAGTTGCCCGGCTGTAGAAATCAGAAAAACGGGGGGGTGGATTGCTGGACACCACGTGACACTGGGGAAAATGCTCTTGATAGAAGTTAACCATATGCATAAAATGTACTTCGAAAACATTTCATTTCAGATGCAGTAATCCCCCCCACCAAAAAGATTGTGTGTGTGTGGGGGGGGAGGATACATCCCCACCCCCAGAAGATTCAGGCCTCAGGCCGGAGACAAAGCCAAGATATGTAAACTCCCCTTTATTGTGGAAACAGAGCCATTGAATCACTTACGGTCCTTATTATGTTTGTCAAAATATTTAAGTTGTGCATTTTAACTGTAGGACACTTCTATTTTGTTATAATTTTTATACTTTTTATACTCTACAGTTTACATGTGAATGTGTGAAATAAACGTGAATAGAAGAGACTCAAAACTATTGCCCTTTTTTTAAAACGATCTGTCACCTACAAGAGATTATTTCCAAAACGAGATAAGAGCCATTTTAGTCCTCTAAATTTCACCTTTTTGTTGTTGTCTCCAGACAGTTTCTATGGGTTTTATTTAGCAAACACAACTCGGTGAGTCAAAACATTTAAAAATGACCTGTAAAGAGATGTGCTACACTCTCTCTGTTCTTAAATACTCATTGTGAAAACATTGCGCAATATTTGAATGGCATATACATGTATGTATAACTTTCTAATGAAACCCTCCTTACATGTATATTCACAATCCCAATAACTCCACCACAGAAAGAGCATTTAGTGATGTAGTAATTACTGCATACTCGCGGCAGCAACAGAGGTGTATCCAGGTTTCGCTTGGGGGAAGGGGAGAAATGGATTCTCTCTACAAATGACAAACCTTTTTTCAAATAAACATAGCTGAGCCCCCCACCCCCATGGCGACATGTCTCTAGGTCCCCCCCCAGCATATGCCGCTAAACAGCACAGTGAATGATAATATACAACGAACACACACGTACACTGTTTGTGGTGGTAGGCAGGGAATGAATGCTGTCCAAAAGGTGATCATGAAATTCCATCTACATGTATACCTTACGGCTCCATCCATCCCCTCTGACATTCCACTGAAGCTAACTTGATTCTATCACTGCAAAGGCCAGATCCATGCTGCCTTGCTTGCCAGGCCCTTGTACTAGTCTCCACATGTCTGAACGACAGGCAACTTCCATCTTAACTTCAGACTTTTTTATAACCATGACCACAAGTGCTCGAGTCTTAAGTTACCGGCATAGAAACAAGACAAACCTTAGCTGCACTTTTAGGTTACAGGCCATAACTCATTTCGAGCAGTTTGCCACACGTGAACCAGGTTTTCCAAACAGCAATGCACTTTGGTCGTAATTACTGAAAAGTTGAGCTTAATTCCAAGCAAGTCTGTACAGAGTACCGAAGTGTGACGTCACTGTGAACCAGAAACTGTAGTACAAACGAATGGAGTACTGGTACCTTCGCGTGTTGGTTCACATGTTGGTTCTTGCTCTAATGCCTATTAAGCACACACCTGTGCGCTTGACGTACAGTAGTCACTTCGGTATTCTATAACCAAGAGTACTATGCGTAAGCAACCTTGATGGATTCTTGGCATTACTTGTAAAGTACCTCTAGACAGTAAAACAAGAATTCCTTCCTTTAACCCTAACCCTGCCAGATGTGGCATGGTGCGGCAGGTGTAAAAGTCTAGTGCACTTTGTAACATTGGTCAATCAACAACAGCCAAAAGGACTGCCCATGTTGAGACAGCAGGACATGTTCCCCTTGAGCGATGCCAGCGTTGGATCTTCTGATGGCTGGCAACCACAAATTCTCAGGCAGTTATCAACCTTATGGAATCTTACTGGACAAGCAAGCCATTTTGCACAGATTGATGCACCTGGCAGGGTTTCTAGCCAAAATACCCTGGAGGACTAGGTTTAAAGAATGACACACAGAGGCAAAGTGGTGGTGAACACCCTACTTACATGTACATTACAATGGTTTCATTTTTCAAGCTCCCCCTACAAAATACATATGAAGCAAACTATGGGACAGAGAGAACCCCCCCCCGCCTTTGTGTTGGTCATTGTTGTACTGGTATCTCAGGAATTCTTTTCGGACATCTAGGGGGGATGAGTTAAGTGACAATAGGCTGGAGTGTGCATAGGGATTGGACTTGGGGGGGGGTACCCCTCTGTCCCATTTCAGGCCTGGTATAACAAAATCAATTCAGAGTGCAAATATAAACTGGACTAGGCAAAAACAAGGACCTGGGTCCTTATGTGGTTATGGACTCGTCAGTTTTATCATAGATCCGTCTCATTATTTTGTATGTAGATAATGTTTACGCCATGCTAGTGAACTTTCCTTTGTTACAAACGATACAGAAAGTTCCCATCTTCATCATAGAATTCATTCCCACTCCTTATGATCCGAGGAGGTGGTGATTCATCATAGTAATGCTGAAGGTTCTCCATGTCAATGTCAAGTTCCTCCTCATTGTCAGTGCCTTCTACAGTTAGCACCATGTTCTCTTCCCTCTGACGTGAATTGTGATGTCTCGACTGGTGGCCTGCCACAGAACCTTTCTTGAACCTAGAATTCAGGGACAAATCTCTCCCATCCACCAGTTGCTGACGATCCCTCGTAGTGGGATTGTTAATCCTGTCCCATTCAGAATGGCGACTCTTGCTGGGGACATGGTCTCTGGGCATTTATTTCTGGTGTGTGGGATAGTTTGATTACAAACAGACTCCTCCACTGTATTAAGATTTTCCTCCGACCTCTGACCTGACCTTTGACCTCTGATCTGGCCTGAGATGCTCATTGGCTGTTGTTGCAAATCAGACTGGTCTTCTCTTTCTAAACTCTTTCGTGCGACTGTCTTTTCACTTTCAAGGGTCGCTTTCAAACCTGGTTTTCTGATGTTTGTTGGGTCTGATTTTGTGAACGCTGACAGTAAGGCTGTCTTGTTGCCTGCATTCCCAGCGTGTCCAGTCACCCCTGGCATGGTCTTTTCTGGGAGGAGGCCGGCATTGGCCTTGGCCCTCGCGTCCTGCTTCTCCAGCCTCTTCTGGGTTGGCACAAACTTGCTCTTAAGCACTTTGACCACCAGAGCCTCTGTGATGCCAAAACTGGCCGCCAACTCTTTGATGCTCCATTCCTCTCCCTTCTCCTGCCTCAAGTAACGGATCTGCTCCATTGTGTCCCTACTCAGAATGCGCGGCTCCTTCGCTGGACGGAACGACCGAGCGTACCGGGCTCTTTTGGCTGCATGAATCCGCCGTTTCTGATCTCTGTCAAGGGCAAAAGTAATATCTGTTGACAAAAACTATTACCAGGTGTGTAGAGTGGGAAAGCTACATTTTGAAGAAATTTTTCCTTCAAATAAGACAGGTTTGTGAGGTGGAAAAAACACAATATTGCTTGGATGGATATCAATTAATCATTAATTTCGAGATGAACAGTACTGCTCTTTGTCTGAATGACAACAGCTCCGACAGTTTTGCCTGAAATTTCTGCAGCGCACAGGTAAAGTCCAAACACATATGTGGTGCTGATCTAACGTTTGAAGGAAAAAATGGAAAGACCGATATCAGGCTGTTGCCAAAGGCCTTATAGGTACATCCTCAGAATTGTTTGCATACATGTAGTTGTACATGTTAACTACCGGTACATATAGTGTTACCAGAAAAATGTTTATCCAAAAATAGAGTGTCATAAGGTCTGTACATGGGCACAGGGGGTTTGTACATGGGGACTAGGCCTACACGTACATGTGGCTTCTCTCTCTGTCACTGGAGAAGGGGTGCATGCAACCTCATCCCCGTGGTTACTTTCAGTGTTGTAGTCAAGACAACTTAAGACCTTCACAAGACCACGGAAGACCATCAAAAGACCAGCACAAGACCTCCAGTCTGAATTCAAGTCACAAGCTATTCAAATGAACTGCGATAAAAGCATTCCTTTGTCATTGTTCACCCTGTAACTTCTGACTGGTCTTGTCCATGGTCTTGTGTCTAATCTTGTGATGGTCTCGACTACAACACTGGTTACTTTACTTCCAGCAGGCTTTCACCAATGACCCCCTGGTAAGCAAACTTTCATCCTGTTTCATGATTTGATGCAGCATTAGCCCTAACACTCCCAAATCCTCCAATTTCAATACGATTTTACATACACCCTAGGGGGTTAGGGTTAATGAGGAAATTGTTAATCTTGTATATTTGGTGGTTCTTCCGGTAATTTCAACATGTATTATGTGCTTTCTTATGAAGGAAAGTGGATGTTATTACACAGCAAACATGAATGCACGTAATACATGTTGAAATTACCAGTAGAAACACCAAATTCACAAGATTGATAATTTTCATATTATCAAACAGGTGATACTGCATATTGGCGGGATAAGCTTTTCACATTTATCTTTAAAAAGAATCACCTTCCCTGATACAAAACAACACGCAGAACTGACTGAGTTAATACCAGACACCTCATGCTAAAACAAACACCAATTGGAAGCCCAGCCAGGTATCAGACTACTTTTTTTATTAACACATGTATTCAAAATGCATGTATTTGGACTTGCAAATGATCCAATTCTGGGGGGAAAGTAGCTAGCCATGGGAGCATCATCATCAATGGTGGCAGGATGATTTTCATTGGGGGGGGGAATTGTGACACCATCAGGAATAAGCCATTAAGCCAAACCCCATTAAAGGACCTGTGAAAACTGGGGGGGGGGAAGGGAACCCCAGGCCCCCCTGCTTCCGCCATCAGTGGACACCATGGGGAAAAGGTTGGGGTGCACGAGTCTACAATTAGCACAACCGAAAATTTGATCACAAACCTCTCCAATTTTTTCAAGAGAGCAGCTGGATCATCTAACGTGTCAGTGTCAAGGTCCCTCTGTGCTTTGGCAAACTCCTTGTCAATGAAATTCTCAAAGTGATAAACAGCCGAAACGGAGATGCTCTGCACCCTCTGCCAGATTAACTCCGGAGGCTGGTTGATCCTGGCAAACAGGCGAGTCGACTTCTTCAAAATATGCAGCATGCTTGATTGCTCTGAAGTCTGCAGGGCTCTACTGATGCAACTGAGCCAACATGCACCAGCCTGGGTTGGTTAGCAGTTGTTGGTGCCAAAGAGCAGGGTACCATTCTCCAATATTGAACTCCATGGAGCAGTTGGTAAATGTACAGCCTGCACAGGATGACATTCGCTTTATCAGAATCTGCAAAATTCAATCAAACTAGAAGTTTATCATACTAAGAAGGAAAAGGAGTCAGTTGACATGTTGATCCAAAATTTTTTTCAGCATAATATTTCTACTGGCCAACTTCTGCCCAGGAAAAATTATCGAGACACTTTTCCTGAAATGGACAGTCCAGTGCGAGCTGTGAGAGTTGGTGAAAGCATGGGAAAGTGGCCAAGTAGATCATACCGGTAAATCCGGCCTGTTTCAAACAGGGAAACAACGCATGCCCATTGCACATTTCATCATGGTATGGCATGTGGGGAATATTTCCTGTAAATGTTATTTTCTTTTGGAAAAATCATGGCAAAAATTGTTATTGACACTGTTGGAAGATTAACTGGTGTTACATGTAAGAGTGCCCCATTTCCGGATGATGAGAATGGTAAGGTTCAAGATAAATGCAGAATGGTCATGCAAAGCGCCCTCATAAGTCATTGCATTGCCAGCTCGGTTACTTTTCCTGCCATCTCGGTAAAATTTTCTTATGTCGAAAGTCCAAGGGTAAACACAGGTCACATTTGATCATTTTTAATTTGACCACCGGCTCGGAAAAACCGACAGAAAAATAATTTCATTGTGAACCTAGCTTTTGGTTCCATGCTGGCATTTAAAAAAAAGAGTGTACCGGTAACTGGGTGGGGACAAAATATACATGTCCATGTATGTTGGTAGTTGATCTGCAAGATTGCAATGACATGACTGACAATGACTTGAGCTAGTTGACCTGTACTGTAGTGAATGCTCAGTGAACAAATCTCAGCAAAAGTTCGATACATGTATGTGGATGGCAATAATTATTCCCTACAAGTGGCCTATGAGTCATCAGAAAGTTAAAACACGTCCAGACACCTGCCAGAAGAGATCAATTTAGGAGGGGAAAAAAACCAAGGCATTTACTTAGAAAACAATTAGAATTTTCAGTGAAAGAGTTCCATATACGGAATTACCGGAAGAGGGCAGGGTTTTGAGTTTTGAGGGAAATTATGAGGGGAAACTGCAAGTGTTGTAGCACATGACACATAATGGATTCCAATTTGCATGGCTTGTTTATCAGGAAGAAAGTCAAATTTTCTCACAATTTACAATTTCCAAAAATAGGGTCAGCGCAAAACTGTTGCCCTTTGTTTTCATGTTTTTTGGGGGGGTACTTACAAGTTACATGTGCCATCATGACCGTTTTGCAAGATTAAATTTTAAAATGAAAAAAAGGGAGGTCCCCCTCTACATCATTCCATGTACATAACAGATTGACCTATCATATCTATCTGAAATGGTGTTTGAGTGTTGAAATTTGAGCGGCAAAGTCAGGCCTGCTTGTACAATATACATGCAGTCGAATCGCGTGCAGCCCGACCAGCCGCCATCTTGTTTTCACGTGGACGGCAGACTGAGCATGGAGAAATAAATTTCTCCATGGACTGAGGAAAGAAAGAAGGCAGCCTACCGCCTACCCCCAGAACTGTGGGGTCCGACGTCCGCCCTGCATCCCACATGGCACAGTTCTGGGGGTAAGCAGCCCCCATAGGCAAAAATTTGGTACATTCAGTTTCCTACCGAAATTTTACTCCCACATTCCCAGAAAGTCGCAAAGCATCGGCAGCAGTTTCTTCCGTAGACGGCCGGAAGAGAGCGCCATCTTAACCTCTTTCAACATTTATAAATTAACAGAGAAAGCTAAAAGTAGCAAAAATCGGTGCTGTGGCACATCCACGCAACAAAAAATATAAAAGACTTAACTGAGTGTATGCTGGGTGAAATTCAAAACAAATTTTAGTTCTTGATACGTTCGCTTTTTCATTAAGTTCAATTTTGAGTGTATTAAAGTTCGTAAGATTTTCTTTATTTAAAATCGATTTCCTGACCAATTGCTCTGTGTTTGTCAGTATCGACTCTATTGTAGGCCTTGATGTCCTCCAATCTCACGAGGGGCACGAGAACATGTTCCTAACTTCCCATTCAGCCAAACTAATATTATTGCAATGAATCATTTGCCGAAACTGTTTATCGAGCCAGCTGACGATCAAGAAATACTTGCAGCTGCCAAATTTGATGCTGTGTTGTCAATTAACAGTCGGAACAAAACATTTGTCTAACTTTCTATAATGATCCAACAACTAAAGGTCTAGGATTGCTTGCCTAACTGTTCATTTCATTTCATTTTTTTCATTTTCATTTATTATTTCTCATGGAATACAGAAACATTGTAAGAGGCCAAATGAAACAACATACTTAAAAAGCATACACTAACACCCCTGAAAGAAAACCTAAACTCAATCACTGTCGATAAGGTCTCCTAAAATGTCAACAAATGCGAGATTACACAGGTAAAATCACATATACGTGTACAAACAATTCAGAGTTAGTAAAATCAGCATGTCAGTAAAGGGAGGATACATAGCGATCAACTTTGCTGGTTAGTTTAGGCACGCTTGCTCCAGGGTTTCATGGAAAGTAGTAGGCATGCATTATTTAAGACTGAGAAATACTTGTATTATTTTATTAAAGTTGTGTTACTGTGGTTATATCTGCAAAGGTCATAAAAATGACATAATAAAAAATGCCTGGGAAAACAATAACCAGTTTACTTGAGGTGCGTAATTAAAAGTTACATTTAGTACATAAACTATTTATGATCTAAAATTAAAATGCCATATCCTTGGATGAACTTTAAACAATGCTTCTATCAGAGGAAAGCCAGAGGTTTCTTAATTTTAAGACAAAAGAGTTGAGGTTAAAGGCAATTTCATTAGCAACATCAGCGGGTAAGGTATCCCACAGTCTGCAGTGGGAAATTTAACAAATAATGAATTATGAAATGCTTGTGTACGCAAGGAGATTAGTAAATTTAGCTGGATCACGAAAAATGTACCAACCAAATTTTGCACAGAGGCAGCTGATAGTCAAGGATAACTGTCTGACCCTCTTCTCTGTCAGTTAACAGTGGCAAATTATTTGCTAACGTTCTTATTGAGACAATATTGAGCATCTGCCTAACTTTACACAGAGGCTGCTAACAGCTGAAAAATTCGAGCTTCTTCTACTTAGCAGCATTTATCTCATCATTCGATTTTCCCAAATTCCCAGTGAGCCAGATATTATGGAGATAAAAAAGTCAACTTTCATTTAAATTGGCCAAATGTAAACACAATTTGAAACCCCGTAATCCGTAAACCCCTTCCAAAGGATAATGTTTATGATAGTTAGAGATGACAGTTCCAGTAGAAAACAGGACAGGTTCCTCTTCCACCTTTGCTTGAGTTGATTGTTAGCTGGCTCAGTGGGAAGTTAGGCAATATTTCATGATCGTCAGTTCCTCGATGGAAAGTTAGGCAAATCGTCCTTAGTGCATGACCGTTAAGTGTCTCAGTTTAAAATTTGAGAAAAATGTTCTGACTAACTGTTCAGTGGAAATATGACAAATTTCCATAACCGTTTTTGGACAGTGGCAGGGTAAAGTTAAGCCAATATTTTCTTGACCATTTATTTAATTTTGGGGCTTAATAGAAAGCTAACTTTTAATGAGTGTTACCACCTTTCTCAAACTCAAGTCTTCATTATTTCACAATTCGTGCCT